TTAACGACCATTCAAAGTTATGACACTAAACAGTGACTTACGACCGTTTTTCACGCTTACGACCAACTGCAGCATCCCTGTGGTCACGTGATCAACATTCAGATGCTTCATATTTATGACGGTCACCGTGTCCCGGGAGGGGGATCACACAATCACTTGCTGTGACTTTCTGGCAAGCCAAGGTCACTTACTAAATTAACAGTGATTCACTTAACAACAGTGGGAAAGGTCGTAAAATGGGGGAAAACTTACTTAACAACTATGTTGCTTAGCGACAGAAATTTTGGGCTCAATTACGGTTGTAAATTGAGGACTACCTGTAGTTCCTTTGTGCCAGGACGTTGTGCCACTTAAGCTGGCATGAAAAGTGCAAGGACAGTGCACCCTTAGTGCTGTCCACGTAAAAACAAAATAAATAAAACTGTGCAGCTAAGTGCTCCTAGTACCTGGAACTCATAAAACGAAATACCTCCGACTCTCATTCCTTTCACGCAAAATCCCCCAGCGAGGGATTTTACTCTCCTTGCTGCAATTAGTGCAAAAAAAAAAAAAATTGTTCTGTTGAATGAGCATTAGCTTACCACAGGGAATTCAAGTACGTTTAATACCGTTCGGGCGAGGAAGACTGAAAGACGCGTAGAAAATCAACAGAGAGGTAATTTGCCTCTGAGCACATTCGGGAGGATGTTTGCCAATGCCTGCAGTTTATATCCTCGCTCCTTTCAAAATTCTAAATTTCCTTTCGTGTTTCTCAGTATTTATTTTGTTAGCAAGGGGGGAAATTGCCTCAGGTATAACCAGGGTAATAAAAATACAGTAGTCCTTGATTTACGACCAGTTTGTTTAGCGACTGTTCGAAGTTACCACAGTTTACGACTGGACTTCGCCCTTATGATCCTGCCAGTGTCCCCAAGGTCACCTGATCGTGATTTGGGCATTTGACAACTGTCACTCATTTACGAGAGTCGCAGTCTCCCATGTTCACATGATCACCAACTGAGACCTTTCTAGCCATCCTCAGATGGGTTAAGTCAGTGGAGAAGCCAGCAGGGAAGGTTGCAAGTTAGGGTCTTGTTTAATGACCGTCCCACTGAATGATGGGTTTTCTAGTCCAATTGGGGTCATAAGTCAAAGACTACCTGTATTTGCTCTCCCACACATTAGAAATGTAGTCCGATTCATTCCTGCATTGGCATAAATACCAATTCGCTGGCAGTGACAATAAGCAGAATTAGTAAAATCCTAAATTCTGCTGAATTGGTAAAAAAGAACAAATGCCATTCCCCCCCCCCCAATATTGCTTGAGAATTCCTGTGCCCAAAGGTCTTACTTCAAAGCTCCAATTCATAAGCATTTGTGGGTTGTTATCACTACATTCATACTAAGCCATTATTCATTTAGCCGTGATTTGACTAAACCACAAGCCGTACGCGGGCTTACTATTTACGTGTACATCGCTAAGCCGCAGACCACTTTACAATTTACAATAGCTGGGTTCTCACAATTCGCTAAGCCCCAATCAAACCACCCAAGCCATGGTTTGTGACCTCAGCTGACGAACCCAATGTCGCCATCTATTTCAGGGGTCTTCAAACTTGGCCCTTTTCTGACTTGTGGACTTCAACTCCCAGAATTCCTCAGCCAGCGTGTCTGGCTGAGGAATTCTGGGAGTTGAAGTCCACAAGTCAGAAAAGGGCCAAGTTTGAAGATCCCTGATCTATTTGAACACTCACCTAAAATGAGTCCACAGAAATTGCCCCCACCTGAAGGGCTTGTCTGGATTCTAGTCTGACATCTTTAATTTCCTAAAGGCCATTAAACCAGTTTCTGATTACTGTTTCTCAAACACACAGGCACAGGACTTCTTTCATTCTAATTCTGTCATAGCACTAGATTAGAGGAGAGTTTTTCAACCTTAGCTATTTTAAGAAGTCTGGACTTCACCTCCCAGAATGCCCCAGCCCAGGGGTCTTCAAACTTGGTCCTTTTATGACTTGTGGACGTCAATTCCCAGAATTCCTCAGCCAGCATGGAGGAACTAAGGCCCCTTCATGACTTGTGGACCTCAACTCCCAGAATTCCTCAGCCAGCATGGAGGAACTAAGGCCCCTTCATGACTTGTGGACTTCAACTCCCAGAATTCATAAAAGGGCCAAGTTTGAAGACTCCTGCCCCAGCCAATATGGCTGGTTGGGGAATTCTGGGAGTTGAAGTCCAGACTTCTTAAAGTTCTTAGAGTTGAGATATACTGGACTAGAGAGCCCACTTACTTGTCCAGCTGAATTGCAAATCATTTCCTGCAGATAAAGTTGGGGATGGAGAGCCAAGCCGCAAAGTTATCTTTCAAAGCTACTATGCTCCTGCATGCGGAAAGATAGATCCTCAGGGACAAGTGAGTCTAAAATCTCTTCTCACTGAGAACAGTAGCTGCTGGAAGGGGGTTTCAGGGAAGACAGGAAAATGTACAGCTTGAAATGGAACAGTCCAGAAAACTAGGCTGGACAAAATTTTATTTTAGGTCAGTGTTTCTCAACCTTGACCATTTTAAGGCATGTGGACTTCAACTCCCAGAATTCCACAGCCAGCGATGCTGGCTGTGGAATTCTGGGAGTTGAAGTCCACATGCCTTAAAATGGTCAAGGTTGAGAAACAGTGTTTTAGGTCACCATGAAAATCAAGGAGAATTTAGGAGAAAGAATGTAAGTCCAGCCAAAATATTATCTCATCTTTCAACAGAGGTGGATAAAATGAGATGGTATAGATGGGCAATTAAGGCTTGAAACCCACTTCCATAGAAAATCCGTGTTCTGTCCAACGTGCACACACGCACGCACCGTCACGCAACAGCAATTTTGTAAAAAATGAAGATGAACCACAAAGATGAATTTCAACGGAAATCTACACAAGGCAAAAGTCTGCACCTGCCCCTTTTTGTATTAGCCTTTCCTGTCTGAAGGCAATGCGTTAATGATACTGCTGCACAACCCAGTCTGGTGTCACAAGGTGTTTGTTACGGGGTATGTGCAAAATAATTCTGTGCGATCAAGAGAGGCACTGCAAAAACAGGAACAGGGCTCGGCAGATTGTTCCACTTGTTTTTAAACAGATATTAGTTGAAAAAAAAAATTGAGTACTTTGAATAAGTATCCTTGATTTAGATTGTTAAAAGAAATGGAAAGAAAAGAAACATGATTTAAAAAAAAAAGTATTGATACAGCTGATTTAAGTTCTCTGCTATATAGCCCTGTTTGGCAAACTTGGCAACTTTACGATGCATGGACTTCAATTCCCAGAATTCCCCAGCCTGGATGGAATTCTGGGAGTTGAAATCCACCACCTCTTAAAGTTGCTAACTTTAAAAAACACAGCTATATACCCTTGAGATTGTATTTTTGGTGTGGTTTTTTTTGTTCTTTTTGTAAAAATCACATTATATAATATATTATACAATTATTATTATTATTATTATTATTACTACTGCTATTATTAAAACATTTTCTTTATTTTTTTAAAAAGAAAAAGCCCAAATCTAGAAACGAGAGGTAGAACTACTCAAAACTATATTTCCTGCTGCAGGAAAAAAAAGTCATTTTTTTTTACACTGTTTTAAAAAAATGTTTAAAAATTGACAAAGCTCTTCCCCCCCCCCAAATGTTACAGATTAGGCTCCCATAATTTAAAACGGATAACATTTTGTCAACACAGCCGACAGCTTAAGAATCCATTTCAGCGTTACAGAATAAAAGTTGCATAGGAGCGGGTTTACACAGATGTCATAGTAATGGCGGGGGGGAAAAAAGGGATCCGTCTGTGTGGGTTTACACCTTTTCGACTGCTTTGTCGCAAAATACAGAAGCAGAGGTGACATTAAGAGCCTGTTAAGATAGCAGCATTTTGCAGGAATCAAGAGTTATTGGGAAATTGCCTGAAAGTCAGTTTTGTTCTACTAGATCAGTGGTTCTCAACCTTTTTAATGCCGCGACCCCCAACCGGTCGTAAGTCGAGGACTACTCAACCGGTCGTAAGTCGAGGACTACTCAAATGATGCAGCACCGTTTGCAGAATGGGACTTTTGGCGGGCTCAGCAGGGCAGAGACAGCCTGGACAATTCCTATTGGCTTTTGAAAGCCAATAGAATTAGACTCTATTCAAGAGAGTCTATTCTATTGGCTTTCAAAAGCCAATAGAATAAAAGGGAGTAGCACAGCTAAGGAAAAGGGGGGAAAAATGGCGGACTGCGTTATTTGGCGACCCCCGTGAAATGGTTGTTCGACCCCAAATGAGGTCCCGACCCACAGGTTGAGAACCACTGTACTAGATGCAGGGGTAGGCAACCTTGGCTCTTTTATGACTCGTGGTCTTCAACTCCCAGAATTCCTGAGCCAGCCATGCTGAGGGGAAAGGGAGAGATTTCCAAGCTGAGTCATGCTGGCTCAGGAATTCTGGGAGTTGAAGTCCACGAGTCATAAAGCAGCCTAGGCCTAGGCCAGAGATAGGTAACGTTGGCTCTTTTATGACTCATGGACTTCAACTCCCAGAATTCCTGAGCCAGCCATGCTGAGGAAAAAGGGAGAGTTTCCAAGCTGAGCCATGCTGGCTCAGGAATTCTGGGAGTTGAAGTCCACAAGTCATAAAAGAGCCAGAGAGAGAAAGAAAGAGAGAGATTTTAAAAAAAAACACTTAATATCAACAAATGCCCCAAACGAGCAGGAGGTGGGAAACACTGATTCACATCTCAAAATAAAAACAACGGTCAGTTTTGCTGACAGTTCATCACGTTGCAATAATATATCCTTAATATTTGCACCCTTTTCTGAAAAGCAACAGACGAGGGGGCACATATATGGAGAAGGCCAAAAAAAAAAAAGAAAAAAAATATTGGTCAGAATGAAAGGGAAAAGAAAGAGTTTGTGAGGAAAAACACCAATGGGATGAAGCGGGGAAAAGAGAGGAAAGGGAACAAAATCTAAAGGAAAAGGGATACATCCGGTGTTTGTTTGTTTTTTTTTAACCTAGATGGATAACAACAACTGAACATTTGACTAGAAAAATGACAAAGAAAATCCAGTTCAATAAAGACAGGCTCCCCAAATTTGGCCACTTTAAGACTTGTGGACTTCAGCACCCAGAATTCCCTGGCCAGCATGGCACGGCTGGCTGAGGAATTCTGGGAGTTGAAGTCCACAAGTCTTAACGTGGCCAAATCTGGAGACCCCCCCCCCCCAATAATAAAGACGCAGCAGTGAAAGTGGGTTCTGTTCCCTTGCTATTCCAAAAGTAGGTATGGTCTTCAGGGCTGAACTCTAGTCTAATCTGAGGCACAACTTCCGTCAGGATTTTGCGGAGGCCTAGAAAGAAGAATCACAAAATTATCATTAGAGATTGAACCCTTCCTTGAAACGGAACACCATTGGGCTCAGGAGACCGACACAGGTGTCAAAAGGAGACACTGCTATGATGTTTTGGGTGACCTGCCAGCCTTTGCCAACACCTGTCAATTATTCAGGAAAGCTGATTTGGGGGGGGGGGGGCTGTGAAGACCCTTGCACATAAGAGAGCTCTTATAGGTTCTCCGGAGCTTCTGAAAAGCATGGAGAACCGGTTGTGTGTTGTGTGGTTTCGGAAAGCTGCAGAAGCCACCTGAGAATGGGGTATGCTTTCAGATAGATTCTGGAACCTTCCGGAAGTCTCGCAAGAGGGCCAATTCTGAAAAACAGCTGAGAATGGGGGCATATATTCAAGTTCAGTGAAAAACATTCTCCAAAGCTACTTGCAGAACAAAGGCCTTGTGAAACTCAGAGCTGTCTTAATTTGTATTTCAAAAAAAAGTATAGGTAGTACTTGACTCACAACCATTCATTTAGTGACTGTTGGAAGTTGCAACAGCACTGGGAAAAAAGTGACTTTCACACTTTCACAACCCTTGCAGCATCTTTTCAAGGACACATGATCAAAATTCAGCCACTTGGCAACTGACTCATATTTACGACGGTCGCGGTGTCCTGGAGTCCCGCGATCCCCCTTTTGTGACCTTCTGACGAGCAAAGTCAACGGGGAAGCCAGATTCACTTAACGATCGTGTGACTAACTTAACAACTGCAGTGATTCACTTATAACATCTGTGGTGAGAAAGGTCGTAAAATGAGGCAAAACTCACTGAACAACGGTTCTCACTTAGCAATGGAAATTTTGGGCTCGGTTGTAATCTTAAATTAAGGACAGGGGTTTTCAAACTTGGCCCTTTTATGTCTTGTGGACTTCAACTCCCAGAATTCCTCAGCCAGGCATGCTGGCTGAGGAATTCTGGGAGTTGAAGTCCACAAGTCATAAAAGGGCCAAGTTTGAAGACCCCTGGTCAAGGACTTACCTGTAAAATGCAATAAATCTCATGAGATTTTTAAGCCTGTTAGAAATTCTGTGAAGTTTACTCTTAAATTTATTGAAAACACTATTCCGGATGAAAGCAGTTTGAAACGGGTACCCTGGCATTTTCATTAGGGGTATGTGTGTATGTATATGTGTATGTGTGTGTGTGTGTGCGGATAAAATCTGGAAATTCGCAAAGAGACTTACCTTGGCATATAGGAATGGAAGTGAGGAATTTCATCAGCATGATGTATGGCGTTCAAGGAATGTTGATTTTTCTTCTGTTATTTAAAAAAAAAACACTTTACTTAGAAAGTCCAACCCTCCTTTTCTATAGGAAGAAATTCACATGACTGAAATAAAACTTTCTATTACTTTTCTGGTCTGATTATATTAATTCCCAATATACTTTAAACAGAAGCTAAAAATACTCCCAAAATAAACCAAGTATGACATGGTAGTAAAGCTGCTCTTTATATACAGACTATGGCACCTCACTGCCTTCCCTTACATATTTCCTGCCCTGATGGACTTTTTAAATTTTGAAATATGATTTTAATCAGAAGAAAGGTGGCATGCTTCAAACCAAAGAGCCAGCCCTCAGATTTTAAAAAATGATTAATTCTTTTTATGTACATTATGATTGCCATCTGTTGCAGCAGATCTTTAAGATATTCTAGAAAATGGAAACAGAAAGAAAGAAAGAAAGAAAGAAAGAAAGAAAGAAAGAAAGAAAGAAAGAAAGAAAGAAAGAAAGAAAGAGGGAGGGAGGAAGGGAAGGAAGGAAGGAAGGAAGGAAGGAAGGAAGGAGAAAGAAAGGGAAGGAGAAGAAAGAAAAAGACAAGAAAGAAAGAAAGAAATAGAGAGAAAGAAGGAAGGAAGGAAGAGGAAGGAAGGAAGGAAGGAAGGAGAAAGAAAGGGAAGGAGAAGAAAGAAAAAGACAAGAAAGAAAGAGAGAGAGAGATAGAGAGAGAGAGAGAGAAAGTTTAAATCGAAAGAAGGGGAGACAGGAACAAGGTAACCATAGAGGTCTGAAATAGTCTTCTAAGGGCCCAGAGAGAGAGAGTGTTAAGAAATCTACTATATTAATTTGCCATTATCAAACTATTTTCTAAATAATTGGTGATCCTTTTTGCAAACAGAATGTTTTTATATGCTGCAAATCAGAAGATTAGATATCAGGAAAGTAAACTCCAGGGAAAAAGAAAGCATGCAGATCCACATGTGCACATGTGGAATAAAGAGAGAGAGAGAGAGAGAGAGAGAGAGAGAGAGAGAGAGAGAGAGAGAGAGAGAAAAGAGGTCAAAGAATGCAGGAAAAAAAGAAAAAACAGGATGAAAACCTCTACAGAACAAGATTTTTTTTTAAAAAAAAAAATAACAATATTGTTTTAAGTGCAAACAGACATAGAAGGCTGTCTATATCAATCTATGTCTGCTCCGTTTTGGAAACCGCAATTACAACTGACGCAAGCATGCAAGGGGTAAGTAGTGGCACTCACTCTCAGAGGGTTTCCCATCATTCAGGAAGGGCTGCTGTTCCATGATGTCCATTGGAATTTTAATACTGGGCACATTTTCCGTGAACGGACAGTCAGACTGCGAAGAAAACAGGTGCAGCAAGTCTTAGATTTTTTTTTTTTTTAAAAAAAGTATTCATGTTCTTATTCAGCATAATTTATTTTCATTTTCTTGCTTCGGACAAGAGTTTAAAGACAATAAAAGATAGTAAAATTTTCCTTCTCCGGGTCTGAAATTTTAGCAGTGTTGACATCCGTATCCTGCGGGTAGTTCTCAACTTGCAACCATTCATTTAGTGACCACGGTGCTGAAAAGCTATGACTGGTTTTCACACTTACCACCGTTGCAGCATCCCCTTGGTCACAGGATCAAAATTCAGACGCTTGGCAACTGGCATGTATTTTTGACAACTGCAATGTCCTGATCGCTATTTGTGACTTTCCCGACCGGCTTTTGACAAGCAAAGTCAACGGGGGAAGCCGGACTCACTTAACAGCCACTTGATTCACTTAACAACCGCAGTGATTCACTTAACAACTCCAACACAAAGGCCATAAAATGGGGGAGATCTTGCTTAGCCACAGAAATTGGGGATTCCCACTGTGGTCGTGAGTTGAGGACTATCTGTACTTAATTTCTCTTAGAGAAATGCAACATCCACGTGTTGTGATTCCTCGCCAGCCAGTGGACCCGGCAGCTGAGGACTCAGAGGAGGAGGAGGAGGAGGAGGAGGAGGGGCCTGGAGTGACATCAGAGTCAGAGGAAAGCTCTGAGGAGCTCCAAGACTTACAGTCGGACGAGGAGCCTGGCCCCTCTACTCGTGCTCAGGCTAAGACACAGCTGTGCTGGGAGTCTGAGTTGGACAGTGATGAAGAACAGCTGGGACAAATCCAAGATGCACAAAAGCGCAGGCAAGAGAAGCGAGTAGGACAGAGGAATGCAATGGGGCGGCTCCAAAGGCAAATGAGAAGGCATTAGGAAGCCACACCTTGGCTGCATAATAAAAGGGAAGGTGTGGGAGATGCTGCTTGCCAAAGGCAACTGTTCGTGTTGAGGATCGAGTTTCTGTGAACTGTGTTTGTTTGCCTTGGACATTGACTCAGGTCTGTGAATAATAAAACGGGATCGGTTTTTTCCTGCGGTTCCAGCCTGCTTGTTGGAAGAGGGGCTTCTCCTTGTGAGCATAACAAGGACTCACATAGGCTGGGACAGAACACCACACTCCCCTCAGTCTTAACGAAAACCAGTCTCGTTGCCCATTATACCTCAGGGGGGTCACTAAAAACCACACCAACACAACTTAAGTGAGGTGGGATGTTACAACAGGAGGATATATACACAGTTCTGGTCCTTCTCTGCTCTTACAAGTTAGTCAAGGTAAAGATGTTGCCTTTTATTTTAAAAGAGCGTACTTACATCATCGTTGTCACTATCTAAGCTGCCCTTCTTTTTCTTCTTCTTCTTCTCGTCTTCTTTCTTCTTCTTGTCTTTTTCTGGAATGACGTCGTCAAGGAAACTGAGATCATGCTGGGAGAAGACATAATCCATCCCTTTTCGGACCGCTACAAGTGCAAGGATCTGTGGAGACAGAATTCAACATTCCCTTATTGGTATATAGGTATTATAGGTGATACTACCGCTTGGTAATGCCCTGGTAAGGCCACGCTTGGAATACCACATCCAGTTTTGGTCATCACAATATAAAAAAGATGTTGAGATTCTGGAAAGAGTGCAGAGAAGAGCAACAAAGGTGGTTGAGGGGCTGGAGGTGAAAACATATGAAGAACTGTTGCTGGAATTGGGTATGTCTAGTTTAATGAAGAGAAGGACAAGGGGTGACATGATAGCAGTCTTCAAATATCTGGGGAATTGCCTCAAAGAAGAGGAAGTCAAGCTATTCTCTAAAGCACCTGAAGGCAGGACAAGAAGCAACGGATGGAAACTAACCAAGGAGAGAAGCAACCTAGAACTAAGGAGAAACTTCCTGACAGTGAGAACAATTAACTAGTGCAGGGGTGTCAAACTCAATTTCATTGAGGGCCGCATCAGCATTGCGGTTGCCCTCGAGGGGGCCGGGCGGGTGTGGTCAGGGTGGGTGTGGCCTATTGGGTAGGCATGGCCAGCTCTACATCATTCGCGTCAAGGATCCCTGGGGGGGCCTGGGCAGGAGTGGGACAGATCTGAGGGTCTCTGGCAGAAGTGGGTGGGGCAAGTGCCAGGGCATGGTCCACTGGAGGAGCCTCACTGCCTGCTGAAACCCCTCCGCTGGAGCCCATCAAGCCAGATATGTGAAGTAGGCGAGGGCCATTTGCTGGCCACTTCCAGGCAATGGTGCATTTCTTCATTCCTCACAAAGGGTGACACCTCCCCAGCATGCACCCAGAGGGTGGGGCTGACACGGCAGGGGCTGGTTCCTCGCTGTTTCCAGACGGCCTTGTGGAGCTAAGACTGAATGTGTTTCAACATAGATGGCCCCCACAAAATTGTACATTGGTTCCCGGCCGGCCTGGGCCAGGGCCAAGGCAGTGGGGGCCGTTCCCTCACTGTTTCCAGGATGGCTTCGCGAGCCACATGAAACCACTTCGCGGGCCGCATCCGGCCCCCGGGCCTTGTGTTTGACATGTCTGAACTAGTGGAACCACTTGCCACCAGAATTTGTGGGTGCTCCAACACTGAAGATTTTTAAGAAGATATTGGACAACCATTTCTCTGAAATGGGATAGGGTCTCCTGCTTGGACTAGATGATCTCCAAGGTCCCTTCCTATTATGTTACCTTCCAACTCTGTCATTCTGTATTTTTTCACCTCAATTTTCTACCTTCTTTGCCATACCGGGTCCAGCATGTTTTTGCTTAACAACCGTGGTTATAAAATCAGGTGCAACTTATTTAACAACTGCCTTGCTTAGCAACAGAAATTCTGGTCTCAAAATTGTGGTTGTCAGTCAAAGACTATTTGTATGAGAAATCATCCTGAGTACGTGCTCAAAGCTCCTAACTAAAACATCACAAGAATGGTGAACAGATCGAACTCTTTAAAAGCACAATACCCAATGAAAGTCCACTTATAGATCTCCCATTTGATGTTCGTTTGTTCTCTGTTACTTTGCGTAAGCAGGAACATAAACATCTGACCTCCAAAAAGTTGCAGCTTTGCTTCAGTTTTGCCGAGGGAGAAGAAAGGAAAACACAGCAGGAATTGCTTAGGCCAGGGCTTTTCAACCTTTCCACCCATTGTACCACTTTTAGGATATGGCAATATCCGAGTACCACCAGTCGCCTGGCCCTTAGCAAGGTGTCAAAAACTTGATGACCAAAAAAAGGAAAAAAGTGATAAAGTACAGATAGTCCTCAACTTACAACATTTCACTTAGTGACTGTTCGAAGTTACAATGGCACTGAAAAAAGTGCCCCCCAAGCCACAGCCGAGTAAGACACCTGCCTGCCTGCCCGGCGGCACTCTTCCTCCTGTCCAAGGTTTTCATTGTTGTGAGCATTTCTGTTGAGGATTGGCAGTGGGGGTGGGGTAGGGGGGTGTTTGGTTTTTATCCCCCCACCCCGTCTGCTGGGTGGTTGCAGCAGGTTTTGGTCACTTCACATGACCCTGGGACGCTGTGACCGTCATAAATATGAATCAGTTGCCAAGCATCTGAATGTAAATCACAAGACCCTGGAGATGCTGCAACATTCTAGCTGATCGGCGCTTCTTCTGGGCTCAGCAGAAGCGCCAGGATCAGTGCTGCTTTCCAGCTGATTGGTGCTTTTTCAGGGTTCAGCGGAAGCACCAGGATCAGCGCCGAGCTCCAGCTGGAGCCTGGCGCTGATCCTGGCGCTTCTGCTGAGCCCTGACAGCCCTGCAGCTCCAGCCATCTCTCGCTCAGGCTTGTGCGGTGCTGCCAGCGGTTCAGCTCATTCCCCTCCCCCACTACTTTTCTAGGATGGTCACATACCACCTGCCAGGTGTCAATGTACCACAGATGGTACCCATACCACTGGTTGAAAAGCCCTGGCTTAGGGCAGAGATTTCTGCACCCCACCTTTTGAAGAGTTTGTGAGTTTGAAGAAAGTGCCCCTGAAAACATGACTAGGCAATTGAATACTAGTCTCTGGATGGGCAATGCATCCATAGCAGAAAACGAGAAACACAGGAGGGCAAAGAAAGTGGGTATCAAAGCTAAACAATCAGCTGTGATCCTGGAAGATTTAGAACCAAGTTAAACTTTGCTATAAAAACGTTAGAGTATGAAGGGCATTAAAGTCATGGTTGTCCCAAAGATGCTTTTTTAAGGAGGCAACTGGACTTTCTTGTTTTTCTTAGAAGACATTTCGCTTCTCATCCAAGAAGCTTCTTCAACTCTGACTGGATGGTGGAGAATGGAAGGATTTATACTCCTTGCAGACCGCCGGCCTGCAAATGAGCGTGAAGCCCTTGGAACTGCTGAAAGGACTTTGTAGACTGGAGATAGATGGTGTCGTATCCCTCCCTCTCTGTTGAGAGACGGCTGTTCAATTTTGACATAGGTGGCCCCTTTGAGAGTGGTCAAAGGGCTTCTTGGATGAAAAGCGAAACGTCTTCAAAGAAAGGCAAAAAAGTTCCAGTTGCCTCGTGAAAAAATATCTTCGGGACAAGGGCTTTGAAGGTTTATAATTACAAAACTAGACACAAAAGAAATGACTGTTGTAAGCAAAATCTGGGGAGCTGAATTTAGGCCCCAGTTTAGGCCCTGAAGGGATTCTGATCCTAAAGTTTAAATAAGGGAAATTACCAATTCCCGAAAATATGTCTGGAAGTTAAGTCATGGCTAAATGGACTTCTTTTCTTTTTTGGTTTGAAACGTTTCTTCAGACTGATGAACCTACTTGGATAAGCAGCGAAATATTTCAAACCGACAAAAAAAAAAGGAAGAAGTCCAGTTGACATTTCTCAACTTCCGGACAGCTCTCCCTGGATGACTGAGAATCTTCATCGACATATTTTTCCTGTAAATAGATTTGGGACACAGCGCTGGATATCTCCAAAGATATGCAGCGGAATGCAGTTGTGACAATTTCCACCTACCATGACTGGGAATATGATAGCAGCGACGGTGGACTTCAAGATCCAAAGGAGAGCCAAGCACAATGCTTGAAGGAAGGTGAAGAGATGGACTCGGCGGAGGGGGACATGTCGCAGGTAGATAAAGTCAGGCTGGTGCTTGAGAGGCATCAGGAGCAGTTTCAGGCGATCCATGAACTGAGGTGGAGAAAGGATTGTTCTAAGGTGCCATCATGATGTAGAAAGAGCAAGTGATAACTTTATTTCTAGAACTCAAGTGATTTCCCCCTATTCCATCTATTATCACCATCTCTCCCTCAAATTATTGAGGTGAGGAAAAGAGAGAGAGGAGAGGGGAGGAGAGGAGGGGAGGGGAGAGGATGGGAGAGAGGAGGATGGGAGAGGAGAGGAGGGGAGAGGATGGGAGAGGAGAGGAGGGGAGGGGATAGGAGAGGAGGAGGAGGGGAGGGGGAGGAGGGGAGAGGAGAGGAGGGGAGAGGAGGAGGGGAGAGGAGAGGAGGGGAGGGGAGAGGGGAGGAGGGGAGGGGGGAGAGGAGGGGAGGGGGAAGGAGGGGAGGGGAGAGGGGAGGAGGGGAGAGGAGAGGAGGGGAGAGGAGAGGAGGGGATGGGAGAGGAGAGGAGAGGAGGGGAGGGGAGAGGAGAGGAGGGGAGAAGAGGGGAGGGGAGAGGAGAGGAGAGGAAAGGAATATTATACAGCTTAACTTTGTTAATATTGATATTTGTGCAAACATTGGAGTTGTGTAGTTCTTATCACGTGGGTTCCTTAGGAAAACAGGATCCTATGCAAAAACAACAGCTATGTTTTTCATACTGAAAAAAAAATTATGAAGTCCGTTCCTAGAGTTAGACTGTATAAAGTCTCAAATGTTCTTGAGTATATCTATGGATTATGTTCTCTTCTTTCTTTCAAGAAGACTCTAGTTTAGGTAAAACCTTACAAGGCAGTTAAATCTGCTCCCGATGCAGCAGAATATTCATGGTGAGATACTAGAATTGTGGTATACACTTTCCAGAAGACCCGCCTGGCTGTTTCTTAGTTAGAATTTACCAGTTACAACGTTCTCATTCTGCTTTATTGCTTACTAGACACCCTTGCCATTTTCTGGATATTTAAACACTACATTAATTAAGACAAGCATAGGTGTTGTGATACACAGCTACAGCATGTCTGTTAATGCTAATCTAGCTGATTTTGATCTTGAAACACAAAACAGGGTTTGATCTGCTCAAATGTAGAAAGTGGGAAATTGTACAAAGGGTGTTGCCAACCACTTCTGTCCTGTTGACAAGAAAACCAAATGGATACAGCCATGAACTCACCAGGAAATGAACTTGATCTGAGGGAGAAAGTCCACACTAAATGTTTTATTATACTTTCACATGCACTTGTTTTACAAGGAACCTTGTGGGTATTTGCTAAAAGACCAGAGTGTGCGTTTCTTGCAACCCTTATCTAAAGTTACTGGTAAGATTTATCATCTCAGGAGGACAACCTTTGCATTGAATAAATCTGTTCCAAAAATGAAACCTGAGCATTTTTGTAGAGGGCAGCTCTATCTTGTTACTTAATAGATTTTTTTAAAACTATTCTTCCTGAAAACAAATATGTAACAATGGTGTAGGCAAGGGAAAAAAATGACCCTGTATAAACACCATGTGAGCCCTTTCATACATTCTCCAGAAACTTGATAATCAATAATAAACCATCAAAAATCAATAAGGCTCTGATAAGCTTCAAATAATCACAGAAGATTTAGCTGGGTCCAATGATTCCTAGATTTGCGTGTCTGTATGCTGATTGACGTAGAGATAGTACTGACTTAATGCCCACCATTGCAATCACTTAGTGACAGAATTGTTAAAAGGTTTACATGACCATAAGGCAGGGGTCAACACTTACCTGCACTCCGTTGAGGGATGCAACACCCATGTAGAGGAACACACCATACAGGACAGGCATGGGAATAAACTAAGAAGAGAAATAAAAGGAAAAAGCTGGAGTAAATAAACTGTGAAGCCTTAATAACAGAGGAATACACAATCTTCAAATTTTCTACACATGCTTCCTGGGTGTCTGATTATTTTTCAAGTAAAATATTTTATTGAAAAATAATTTTGAAACAAATGCTACGGATCCTAAATGAACAGAGATATGGTTGGCTCTCAACTTACAACCACAATGGAGCCCAGCATTTTTGTTGCAAGGCAGTTATTAAGTGAACTGTGCTCCATTTTACAACCTTTTTGCCACAGCTATTAAGAGCATCATTACAGTTTATTAAGTGAATAATACAGTCAATAAAGCAAATCTGGTTTCTCCTATTGACTTGGCTCGCCAGAAGCTACTTAGGTTTGATCACGGAGATGCTGCAATGGTCGTAAGTGTGAGGACTGGACATAAGCCACTTATTTCAGTGCCATTGTAAGTTTGAATTGTCATTTAATGAACAGGTTGTAAGTCGAGAACTATCTGTATAGAATCATAAATGGCCAAGGGGGGGGGGGAATAAACACAAAAAGAGCCATTTGAGATCATTAGGCAAGGAATCCACACAATGTTATAATCAGGTATGACATGCAAAGTTTGTCTAATATTTTCACAGATTCGTTCCAATGGCAGCATTTAATAAAAAAGAATGGCTAGAACTTTCCATTTCTGTGCTCTTTCCCATTTTTCATAGAACGTGACATCTGCACTTCGACACTCCTTGCCAAAAATGTGATGGCATTCTAATCTTTAGAGCACCAACTATATTTTCAATGAAGTACATATTTTATGGGATCAATATGTGTCTGATTACAAACTGCTTTGTGCTAGACGCAGGGGTAGGCAACCTTGGCTCTTTTATGACTGGTGGACTTCAACTCCCAGAATTCCTGAGCCAGCCATGCTGAGGGGAAAGGGAGAGGTTTCCAAGCTGAGCCATGGTTGCCTACCCCTAGTTTAGAAGAACACACCTGCCAATCATGGTGCAGGCCAACTGGATTGTTCAGAAAGGGACACACAACAGTGGTTTCTCCTCATGTTTTGAAGTATCGTGAAGGAAGCAGGACCAGTTTCTTTTCAATGGGCCCCGTATCCAGCATTGATTTGAGCAAATTAGATTTCACATCTTCAGTCAATTTGGAGGTCCCTGTGCTGCTTAAAGACCTAGCCCAGGGGTAGGCAACCTTGGCTCTTTTATGTGGACTTCAACTACCAGAATTCCTGAGCCAGCATGGCTCAGCTTGGAAACCTCTCCCTTTCCCCTCAGCGTGGCTGGCTCGGGAATTCTGGGAGTTGAAGTCCACGAGTCATAAAAGAGCCAAGGTTACCTATCGCTGGCCTAGGCCTAGGCCGGTTTATGACTCGTGGACTTCAACTCCCAAAATTCCTGAGCCAGCAGGGCTCAGCTTGGAAACCTCTCCCTTTCCCCTCAGCATGGCTGGCTCAGGAATTCTGGGAGTTGAAGTCCACGAGTCATAAAAGAGCCAAGGTTGCCTACCCCTGGCCTAGGCCTAGGCCGCTTTATGACTCATGGACTTCAACTCCCAGAATTCCTGAGCCAGCAGGGCTCAGCTTGGAAACCTCTCCCTTTCCCCTCAGCATGGCTGGCTCAGGAATTCTGGGAGTTGAAGTCCACGAGTCATAAAAGAGCCAAGGTTGCCTACCCCTGTCGGCTAGACATTAGAGTTAAACTTTGACAAGCCACCCCCCAAAAATAAAAAATTAAATAAGGTATTTTTCTGTAGTGGAATTTTTTTTTCTCTTCTACTACTAAAAATATTTAAATTTTGTGTCATGTAATAAAAATATTTAACTACTACTAAAAATATTTAAATTTTGTGTCATGTAATAAAAACTCAACTTTGTATAGTTTTGGACATTCCCAGCTACGATCTGGTATAAGTTATTCACAAGTAGCAAATGTTATTTACGAAGTTTGTAATATTTTTAGAGGCTAGAGGATGGAGAGCTGAATCCAAAGACAGATCCTACTGAAAAGCATTGCCCAGCAAGCTCAGTTTAGGAGTAGAACATTTATTTTATTTATTAAGTTAAATTTGTTTGCCACTGCAATTTGTCCATCCATGAAGGTAACACTGTATTTGATATTGTTGCTAATAATATATCAACGATCTTTACATTCAAAAATCTATTCGCATTTGATAATTTGGTTACTATAGATTTGATAACCTGCAATGAATGATTGAAATCCATTGGAAAAGAAGGAAGATGCGCTGAATATGTTCACTGCCTTGAGCTATTTATAAAAATAATAAGAGCAGGCTATAGATAAATAAAATTAAACCCTCTAAAGCATTATTAAAAGAATGGTCCTAAGTAGAGGACTTATAGATATTTTGAGTTATGAATATGCACATATGAACAAGTTGTCTTTAGAAGGTGGTAACTACCATCCCCTCACTCAAGAATGCCAGTTAGTTTTCTCAAATTATCTAGGAATCAACAAGCTGCTTTATTAAACCAGATCTATTTTATTCAATATTTTCAACAGTGTTCTTATACAGACAGTCCTCGTCTTACAACAGTTTGTTTTGTTTAAAAGTTGCAGTGCCACTGAAAAAAGTGACTTATGACCGTTTTTCACACTTATGACCATTGCAACACGTGATCAAAATCCAGGCACTTGGAAACTTGCTCTTATTTATGACGGTTGCAGTGTCCCAGGGTCACGTGATCCCCTTTTGCGACCTTCTGACAAGCAAAGTCAATGGGGAAGCCGGATTCACTTAACAACCGGGTTGCTAATTTATCAACTGCAGTGATTCACTTAACAACTGTGGCAAGAAAGTTTGCAAAATGGGCAAAACCCACTTAACAAATGTCTCGCTTAACCACAGAAATTTTAGGCTCAATCGTGGTCGTAAGTCGAGGACTATCTGTACACACTACAGGTTTCCGGATGTGCCAGAACGACGACTCCCAGAATCCCTCCGGCTGAGAGCACTCCACAGCATTTGGTGAGGACTGGGCCAGGAGTAGGCAGCCTTGGTTCCTTTATGACTCGTGGACTTCAACTCCCAGAATTCCTGAGCCAGCTTGGAAACCTCTCCCTTTCCCCTCCGCATGGCTGGCTCAGGAATTCTGGGAGTTGAAGTCCACAAGTCATAAAAGAGCCAAGGTTGCCTACCTCTGGCCTAGGCCTAGGCTGCTTTATGACTCGTGGACTTCAACTCCCAGAATTCCAGAGCCAGCATGGCTCAGCTTGGAAACCTCTCCCTTTCCCCTCAGCATGGCTGGCTCAGGAATTCTGGGAGTTGAAGTCCATGAGTCATAAAAGAGCCAAGGTTCCCCACCCCTGCCCTATATCAGGGCTCCTCAACCTTGGCTAATTTTAGACTCGTGGACTTCAACTCCCAGAATTCCTGAGCCAGCATGGCTCAGCTTGGAAACCTCTCCCTTTCCCCTCAGCGTGGCTGGCTCAGGAATTCTGGGAATTGAAGTCCACGAGTCATAAAAGAGCCACGGTTGCCTACCCCTGTTCTAGGCTCATGCGAGAGACAGATTTAAAAGCAAAATGTGATGTGGAGCACAGGTGGATGCACACCTAGTTGGCTGACCTCCTACAAATGTTGCGAATATATCCTGGAGAATATATATTCTTAAATTGAGGATGTTTCCAACATAGGCCACATGTATGCGCTTGTGATCAGTAAATCAACCTGGCCATTTTCGAGGCAACTCTGCCCATCCCTATTTGGGAAGGCTGGACTGGCACAAATCTTTAGTTCTAGTCCTATCCGAAAAAGCTAATGATTGAGCCGATGACCTTTGCATATAAAACAAGTCCTGTGCTCTGCCTTTAAATGTTTGGCAGCAGCAAAAGGTTTTGAACCCGGCAAGCAATAAAAAAAAGAAAACCAGATAACCAGGAAAGATCAGAAAGAGAAAGGAAGCATTGCACAAGGTTTTATAACAGGCAAGCCAAAATCAGCAGGGACACTAAAAATGAGGAAACAAAGTCTTTTTCTACCTTATTGAATAAACCGCTGAAAGTACAAGAAAAACAAGGTGATTTTTTTTGCCCCAGGTAATTTACAGTGAATAACCTTGTAACCATGTTTATTTGGTTCGTTCTATAAGGAAGAAGGAAATGAGGGATGCACTGCCCTGCTTTCTTGAGCCTGGCGTTCGAAAAATGTTTTTTTTCCTATGCAGAAAGGATCCATCTCCTAGCTCAGGGGTAGGCAATCTTGGCTCTTTTATGACTCGTGGACTTCAAACTCCCAGAATTCCTGAGCCAGCATGGCTCAGCTTGGAAACTTCCCTTTGCCCTCAGCATGGCTGGCTCAGGTTGCCTATCTCTGGCCTAGGCCTAGGCTGCTTTATGACTCGTGGACTTCAACTCCCAGAATTCCTGAGCCAGCATGGCTCAGCTTGGAAATTCTCCCTTTGCCCTCAGCATGGCTGGCTCAGGAATTCTGGGAGTTGAAGTCCACAAGTCATAAAAGAGCCAAGGTTGCCTACCCCTGTCCTAGCTTATCAGAGTCCCCTTATAATACAACAAACCTTTAACACCAGATCACTTCTGGTGACAGATTTCTTGCAATTACAAGCTACGCAGAGCAATCTCTTCATACCTTGCTACTATAAGAATATTGTGAGCAGGGTTGTATGTTTTCAGCTACCAAATCAACAACAAAGTTTTTTCAAATTAAGTCTTAGTCCTAATGGCGTTAAACATCCGAAGGCTAAATTGGTGGCGATGCAAAAAATAAAATAAAATAAAAATGAGTTGTATATTTTTATTACACAACTTTGGGCATACTTCATTTGAAACTAAGCTAGCCGGAAGATAAAATCATTGCTTTATCCTATGATTATCTCCTTCCTGAGATAACACATAGTTTAACACCCCAAAGGAAGGCAGTGTTTACCCAAGAGATCTCTTGCAAAAAACTCTGTTCAGCCCTGGGAAATGTAAATCATAGTTGTGCCAGCCTCAGATTGGGCTGAGCAGTTTT